AAAAAAAAAACAAAATTGCTGTTTAATCACGTAAGTGAAATTTGAAACTGAATCGCAAATATCAAAACAAAATTTGCCTAATTGAATTTCAAAAATAAACATTCGATTTCATACATAAATATAATGCCGACGAAATTATTGCTGAATAGAATAGTGTTAAAAAAAGAAGTGTTTTGTGAGAAAAAAAATTCACCTGTATTAGAAGCTGACCGCTCTTTGTGTGTGGGTTACGATATGCATATGCAACCCACATGACAAGACTGGCAATCACGACGATTGGTAACAATATGCCTAGGGCAAAACTAGCATGGTTATGTTTGGATTGATCGTTGTCAATGTGTGCAAGTGCGTTTTTCACATCGACCGATGTTTTATTTCCATTCTCTGTGAATGCGGCATCACCATGGACACTTGGAATTTGTGAATCATTTTGGTTTGCTGTTTGACCGTTCACCGGTTGTTGTGTCGCATAATTGTTACCTTTGGTACCTAGCGCCGGGCACGTTGTAGTGTCTTTCAATTGCGTTTTTTCGCAACCCACTTGAATCCATTGCTGACGTTTACGATCCGTTCCCGTCGAACACCGATTCAATGTTGGACACCATGTGCACTATACAAAAGAGAACCATCCAATTATTGGTAATGACACAAAATGAATTTGTTTTTTAACGAACATCACGTTTCTTTTTCTCGAAAAATATAAAAAATATTTACACTTGTATAAAATCAACTTACATTAAATGCGTCGAGCCGTGTATCCAAGCAGCTGGCACAATCTTTGAATCCCAAACATGTGGGAAGTGCCACCATTCTGATGACTGTATTGTTTTTGATATCTTGTCCGGGGAAATTGACACGATGATATTCATAAATTGTCTTCCGGCGAGCAACTGTTGGTAGCAAGAGAATATCAAGTGAATCAATTCTAAATGTAGTAATCATGCATATCAAAACTTACAATAAATAGTTTTATCGATGATGTACGCATCGGATAGGCCAATTTTAACTGGATGCTTTTCATCTTTAATGTTTTCAATTAGGATTGGTATTTCTTTGTATGCGAATGTGATATCACCAGTATTGTACAATGTTACACTGAATGTAAACAATGGCGGTTTTGATGTTGCTCCATCTTGCAACGGTACTTTTTCCCATATCACAGTGAATGCCGTTCCTATATTCACACACAGAATTATCGAACGAAATAAAAATAAACTTAATTGTGAAAGTCGCAGAAAGTGCGCCATTAAATGTGTTGTTATTTAAAAGCGTTATGGTGTGTATACAATAAATGAATGTTCTACAGTTAAATTCAATTACCATTATCATTGTATTTCACAACAGACACGTTCGACGCGCTTGTATCAAAATTAGCCATAAGTGGTGCAATATATTGTGTTGCTGCGAGCCAAGAGTGAACATATTCTCCTGTATAGAGGAATCCACCGGTGGCAACAGTTACATTCCGAACCGTATGTCCATAAAATGGAAAATCGAATTTCAATTGCACCGTCTGTGGAAGAAAAATGAACCGCACACAGTATGCACGATTTAATGGTTAATTAAACTTTGAGTAAAAATAACACTGATTACATATATTTACACAGCATTAAACTTACAATAGCTCGACGATGTGATTTCGATAGAATGTTGCTGATAATATAGTCCTTTTTCTGTGACCAGTATTCATTCGATTGGTTAACACTAACACTCAGCGTACTATTATAGTATTGAAAATAGTCAATTTTCTGGTCATTTCCCCCTTTTTTTTCTTCCTCAGAGATCGTCCTATTGAATTCCTCTTCGGGCTCATCAATGCGTCCAATTACGTCTTCGTTAACAGCGGATAGTGTTGCTTCCGTTTCGGTTTCTTTTGTTGATTGTACAGCACCAAGGCTTTTATTTATCGTTGATGTGTTTGCATTTGTCGCTGTCATCAATGACGATGGCGATGATTGTGATACGACAATTTTTGTTTCATTGGTAGATGGAGGTGGATAGTATTTCCGTTGGCCAGCACCATTTTCACCAAGTAAATGCTGTGTACTATTTTTAGATGTTGGGGTTTCACTTTTGCCACCCGTTTCTGGTGCTGTCGAAGCAATTGGTGTTGGCAACGATGCAGTTGTTGTTACAGGCGATGCTGGCACATTTGTATCACGTTTAACGCGATACGTTTTGAAGTTAGCATTATCTAAATATTTTAGATTATGCGAACTTTCTATGCTGTACTGGTATTGGTCACCTGAGTGAAAAAATGAAGATTTATTATTTAAATGAATTATTTCCACGTTATTTGGCCCCGAAAATACATTTATGGCACAATAAATCATATCTTTTGACAAAAAAACGTTCCATAAAACTGATCACAAGACGCAATTAATTCACTGGAGTGATAACTACGATAAAGAAAACAAACATTTATAAACGAGTTTTTTTTTATGATTCATGCAAAATTCCACCGAATATCAAAACATGCCAAGGCATATGGCTTTTTTATAATCTTTATTTACTCATCAAATAAAGCTACTGATATTGTTTGATATATGATGAGCGGTTTTCTGTTGACTATTGTCAACAGATTCATTTACGTTTTTATTTCCAACGAATGAGACTGATACGGTTTTTTCACATATAGATTTGTCGTTTTGTCATAATACTTTCTTCTTACATGTAACGCATTATGTCGTTCAAGTAAAGCGTTTAGACGATTAATTAGTAATAATTATCATTCGCATACAGACAGATTTTCGACACATATACAAAAAGTCAATAATTTATTGCTTTTAAATGGTCTTAATCACTTGCGGTCGATTTATAATAGAGTAAGACGCAGGACGTCGATTTCATTTGTTGTTGCACCAAAGCCAATTTAATTGAATTATGTCATGTTTGACATCGGCGACGTTAATCACATACATATGTGTGTAATGCTATTTGTTCGTTAGCATCAATTTTGAATGAAACGGAGAACGAAGAGAGACAGAGGAATGCCAAACTGAACTATTTAGGCAAAAAAAAATGATTACGTTTCAGCCGTAAACAGTGGTTACCATTATTGAGAAATCTGAGACTGTGTCATATGTGTGTGAAGTTTTCGTTTTAAAACAGATGCAAAATACTTCACAGAAATGACGAATAAAAGACATTGATTTTAATTATGGTGCACAGCGACAAGATAACAAAATTGCAAACGAAGCGATCTTGGCACTTTATAGTTGCTGATACAGTTGTGTTCACTTTTTTTACTTTAGCGCTCCTGTTAAATTCATTGGAATAGTGAAATTCCCCACAACAGCACAATTTCTTTGGTATAGCGCTGACTCATATACATACGCTGAAATCTACAAACTCAAATAAACAGTCAATTAACGCATCGGTCAGTTTAGTTGATTGTTGTTGGGGTTTTTTTTTGCGACGTTGCCTTTTTATTGTGGTTCAAGTCTAAACGTATAGATCAAAAATAACAATTTCTTTTTCCTTCAATTTTTTTTTCATTCAATGTGTGTCAAATATAGTCCATTCACTTTGGCGCTTCGTAACTAGCGTAAATTGGTCGCCAATGATCAATAACGCGATACAGAGTTGTTATTTTATTGAAGGCAACGCGCAATCAAAAATAATTTGCAAAAGAAATGAGCGAGAATTCTCTGTTAACATATTTCGAACACTCAAAAACAAGATCGTTGAATATTTAATTGCACGGGATATGCACAGTCACATACATACACAATTTTTCCACATTCAACGAATAACTCTTTTTTTCCCTGCACAATATTTACATATTCTCTTATGCTAAACTCTATCAAACCGAAACACTTGCTTGATTCTCCGATATTATAATCTATATATAAAAATGTGCGCGCTAAAGCTTCGATTTATTTTATTTTAATTTTTTTTTTTCGTTCCTGTTTTTATTGCGTTTTTTTTTGTTCGAAACGAGTTTATTGCTTGCGTCACAAAGAATGATCGAATTGGAAAATTCTTAAAATCGTCAAAATCAAATTTGTCTAACGAAAATTCCGAAAAAAAAATCAAATCAATTTTTTACTTACTATCGATTTGATTTGATTGGGACAATTCTACAAAAATTAAACAAAATACGCAGAAATTGAGGAAAACACAATATACGTTCGCCATCTTTCTTAAACACTACTTTACGAATGACTGATGAAATACGTCTTATGACTCGTTTACTCCGACCATTTACATGTCATTCGCACTTTTGTTGTGTGTCGAGAGCGAGAGAAAGAGTACACATCACATCCAGAAACGGTGTTATAAGTGTATGAGCGTAACACTTCTCGTTTACACACACACACTTTATACACTCATACACTGTATATGAGTGTGAGTTTATTTTGAACTTTGACAGAAGAATCTGATTGAATGATTTCATACAAAACAGTGGCCACAACAAAAAAGAACAACGTGCATGTATGTTTGCATGTTTATAATATTGTGTCTATGTGTTGATTTCGCCACAGTCATACGTTTTCGTTTGGTGCATTGTTATTTTTCGGTTCGGACATATGAACACATGTCTAATTTCTCTGGATTTTTTCAGGGAAATTTTTCTATAATTAGCATAACACACTTTGACGCAAATAAATCGATGATTAAAAATGTGGAATATCCACATTTGAATCGCATTCTATCGTAAAATCTTGATTTTTTTTCCTGCTCATGGATAAACGAATAACGTCAGTGACTTGATTTCAATTTTATTTCTACTCAATTTTCGATTTGAAAACGTCAAATGGAGTGCTATATTTTTTTTTTACTCAAAGCATTTTTTTAAACCATGTCATTCATCATTGTGACCGAGTAGAAAAGTCACAAAATTTACGTCAAAACACATAAAGGACAATAAAAATGTTATTTTGATAAAAGGCACACATAGCAGAAAAAATATTGAAAAGCAATTTAATATTCAGCATTCTAAATTTAAAGTTTTGCCCTTTTATTGTTAAACAATTGAAAACAAGTGCTTAGAAAATGTAATTTATAAGAGTCAATTGATGCCTAAATGTAAGCAAATACCGATAAAATCCACAAAAAAGACAAAAAAAATATTGTGATTTTTTAGAAAACTTTACCTAGCATAATGACACCACACATCAATGATTTCACACCATTTGGAATGTTTTTACTTGGCGAAGAACCGGTAAGATGCGACGTTGTATTTATTTGTATTTCTTTCTACAAATTTGTGCATTTTTTTAACAGACAATTGAGGATTTTATTCTTCTAATTGGAACAATCGTGGCTTTCATCGCATTTGTGCTATGGTGCTGTTTTCCGATATCTCCAAAGGTGAGCCACACAATAGTTTGTGTCAACGTGTGAAAATAAACAGTTTTTGAATGATTTTTTTAGGATGGAAGTGGACATCAGTCATTCTCATGTAAATCGTTATATGTTTTGAAATCATCGCAACACAAGTACACCGAAGATAATCACAATGGTCGAAATCATGATGGCTCCAAATACGGTTTGAATCCAACTTATCATTGCTGCAACAGCAATAACTAGTTCTAGTGCAACAAAACAGAAAGAAAGTATAGATTTTTACCTCAAAAAGGATTTCTTGTAGATAAAACGCTTTTTCACAAAAAAAAAAAACATTATTCTAGTCAGGAACGGTGAACACAAATGCAATCTAACGAATTAGATAAATACATTTAATGTTATGAAGAAGGAATGGTTTCACATAAAAAACATTCAATATCATTATGCTGGCTTGTTTGGAGCCGACAAACATTACGTTTTTAACTGAATCATCAAAATCATATTTTACTAGTTTTTATTTTCAATTTTAATTTTGATTGTAAATAAATTTAAAAAAAACGAATATATTTGATGAATTTGTATCATATATTTTAAACGAATTACTTACATTTGAACACTCACCGTTCGAATCTCATACACACTCAAGAGTTTTTATGCTACTTAAATATATGTAAGAATTTTAAAGAAGAATTAAGTGTTACATTTTACATCTTTAAAATTAACTGTATAACTTTTTTCTCTTGAATTAAAATCAATTTGAAAACACAAAATGAATACCAACATGAATTTTATCTCCTCCTTTTTACAAAAAAAGGGACAAAATCCTCAGCAGATATATAAAATCAACCGAAACAATAGACACAGATACAAACTTCGTCATGAGAGTAGGTAGTTTTAATCGACTAAATCAGTAAATTAATCACTGTGATGATATAAAAATAAATCCCAATACAATTTATATAATTCCACTGTTTTTATTTGAATTTTTCGGGCTCATCAATTAGGTCATCGATATCATCTTCCATTTCGGTTTTGTGTGCCGTGAAAGCAATTGGCGATGTCAACGATGCAGTTGCTGTTACAGGCGATGCTGGCAAATTTGTATCATACTTCACACGATACGTTTTAAAGTCAGCATTATCTAAATACTGGTGTTGGTTACCTGCGTAAAACAATGAAGATTTATCATTTAAATGAATTTGCAGTATTATTTCCACAATTGATCCTATCTTTTGTCAAAAAAACATTCCACATTTTGGCAAAATTCTGTAGGGAGTTCCTGGAAAAATCCATGGGGGGTCCCTGACGATGCCAACAATTTTGTTAGAAGTCACTTTTTGAGGCTAAAATCCCTAGCAAATCGGAAGAATTTTCTCGGCCAAAAAAAGTGAAGAGCAAAAAAAAGGTCCTCATTTCCAAAATTGTTGAGGGTTCCTAAAAATATTTTAGGGGGGTCATCCGAGCCCTAGGAACCCTTGTCATCACCTTTGCCATCAAATGATATAACGTAATAGTAACCTAATAGTAGGTAACTGTAATCGATCAAAGTCACTGTTCGTAAACTAATCACTGTGATGATATAAAATTAAATCCCAATACAATTTAATATAATTCAACCGTTTTTATTCAATTTTAAAATTCGTTTGACAGTGGTATCCGATGTGTTAAAAACATTTAAAAAAAGGTTTCAAATCCGTAAACTTAAAAGCAGCATGAAAGGGCTTTTTGCTTTGAATTAATTTTTTTAACTGATGACCTGCAAGGTTATTGTTGTAATTCGTGTAATATATAGTGATCAAAAATTGTTTTTTTTTTGTCTTCAAAATTAAACTTAAAATGTTTACAAAATAGATTCTCAAAATGTGCCGTAGTATAAAACTGAAGAAATGACACACGCAACACAATAGTGGTGTTATTTTTCGTTCCACATCTGTTTAATAATAAATTGCTAATGAAGTGGAGGTAGACAATGTTATCTTTTGTTATTTTTTTACTGTGCTTTTGCTTGAGTTTGTTGATGTGTTTTTTATCTATCTACTTTTCTTCCACCTTTTTTGTTCTTAAATTCTTACTGTAAAATTCCTCTTAAAACAACTTCTTTCATTTTAAACAATGATTTTTTGTATCGTTTCTTTTAGCTGATTCCATTACTTAAAATCGCGATAATGCATTTACATGATTCAATGATCATTGAAATTTCAATGATTTTGCAAACAACGCGGCCAAGGCCTGTGTCTTATTGCCGTTGGCCGATCGCAATTCCGCAATCACCCGTTCACGTGGAAAACCATTTTTAACTATTTCAGCTACATCAATTTCTGTGAATTTATCTGTCGGCAATATTGAGTCTCGGCCTAATGACGATGACATTCCACCGCTGGAAGATGATCCACTAGCTGAAAGCGATTAGAAAATCTATATTATTTCGCTCATCTTTCAATAATAAGTGTATGTGCTTACCTTGTTCTCGTCTACTTCGTTCGATCGCTTTTTGAATTTCGGCTGCTTCAAGTGCATCGGCGGTGGCTTTCAATTCTTCGGCGGCTACTTTGTCGTTGTCGGCACCAGTTAATGTGAGACGACTGTGTGTTGGTAATTCATTTTCTGGCAAGAACTTTGTATCGGTTCCGGTTGTTCCGATGTGCAGGATATTTCGTTGCAAATCAATTGTGCATTGATGACGTTTTAGCATATCCAAACCAAGCAACATGTCCATTGTTTGATCTTCGAGCACGGAAAAACTTGTGAGAAGGAAAACATTTTCAATTTCCACCTGGGCAACGTGCACACGACCAATGATCTTTTGAACACCAACACCCTTTGCAATACCAGCCCATCTGTTATACAAAAATACAAAGAAGGTCCTTAATCTTAATTTCTTTTCTAAAAAAAAAAAAAGTTTCTTTTTATTACCGTGTGTCAACCAAACGCATGACGTTGCATTTTTCAGCACAGGAAGCACTCATGATTGTTGCCTGAGCGCCCGAATCAACAAACGCTTTAACCGGCACACCATTTACTTTGCAATTTATGTACAACATGACAACGGTACCAAATGTCTCTGGATTGTGTTCCATTGCAGCTTCCATATTTGCTTCGATATTTTTTTGTCGAATCTCTTCGGCGATCAAACGTTGTGCTTCGTGATCAAATGGATCAGCTTCCATCATTCGTCGACGTTGTTGAGCCCGTTCATAGCGCGCTTGTATCTGTTGTCGAAGCACATTCGAAAATGTTTCTAAATTTCCAGAAAGTAATGCTTCGGCCAATGTTGGGTTATTTTGTTTCAACTGCAAACGAATAATTGGATGTGTAACATCAATATTTTATGTTTTTAAGCCCTAACTTCGGAATGTAGTCGCTATTATTGATTGGAAATTCTTTTAACAATAACTCAAGATGTAAGATTTATGATTATAAATAAGTGTAACAAGACAACATAAAATGTGATCCATGTCATTATGATGGCGAGGACTTGGTTGCTTCTTCTTGATTGAATTATTGTCTGACGAATTAATGTCCACTAGACATTGTCTAGACATTAGTTCGAAATTTTAATCCACATACCAAATCGTTGAAATGATGTATTTAAGTCTAGACAATAATTCGCATTTAACCCAAACATTAATTCGTTGCCCTGCTCTTTCATTGGTCGATCGGAAACAAGAAAATTTGTTTTCAACCAAACATTTTATTGAATAATTCAACTAGCAATCTATGTTAAAAAAATTGTTCACCGATGGTGTAGGTTATTTATCAATGTCAAAAAAGTCTGTAGCGCTTTTGTTGGCTGTATAACAACTGAATAAAAAAAGATCGAAGCAACCAAGTAAAGAAAAACCATCATCTTCTTATCGTTTAAATAAATTTCCAATCAAAATCGACTCTTCCCTTAATTGTTATGCACACATATTCGAAAGACATTAAAAATATAAATGAGAAAATTGTCTTACCAATGCCAATTGATCAGGATTCTTGAAAAATGCCTCTCGAACCATGGCTGGATCATCGTTCATGCCGATCGAAATGGGACTTTGCGGGGAACCACTGTTACCTGGTAAACTACCGCTGAGACTTCCACTACTGCCACTATTTGGCACCCGAATCGCAGTGCTACCTGGCAAACTACTGCTGAGGCTACCGCTGCTACCACTATTCGGCACTCGAATCGCACTGAAGTCCAATCCAGCTAATGCTATAGAATCCCACGATTTCAAAATTAGTCAAATGTAAACAAATTTATGAATTAATAAAGTACTTACGATTTGATGGATTTTGTCTGTTGCTTTGATTAGCTCGGGCTGCCGTTGATAATAAATTGCCAGCTGCCTGCATGACATGTTGCAATAAGACAGCATCACCATCGCTGATGCCATGATCTTTGAGTGACTTTTTGTCATCTAGCAACGGTTGACCTTTGAATGTGATCACAATCTCTGTCGATGGAAAACCCGACTCAACCTCGCAAAATGCCTTGAAATTTTCCAATTCCAACTCTTCCGACACATCCAATTCAAATACATAATCGGTTACGGTGGTCACAGTGATTTTCATGATTTCGTTTATTTTACGTTAAACAAAAAAAAAGGAACTAAAATGTTGAATGAATCACTTCGAATTGAATTTCACAACAAAAGTCCGTCAACAAAAGAATTTGAATTTACGTTTCGATTTCGGTTTTATTTGCCAAATGTCTTTGGCTGACGTACTGCACGCAAATGATGACTCTTCAAAAATCAGAATCGTAAAACTGTATGAAAATATGCGAAGAAAATATAAATCTTTTGTTTATCGGACACTTTTCATTCGTTCAATGCACGTCAACGCAAGGGAGGAAATTGTCAAACCGAAAAATTTCAGCTTAAATCGCAATAGAAATAAATAGAAATTAAAATGCACGGAATTGTATTTTGTATAGTTAAATAATATTCGGAATAAAATTTAATGGAATTGAATGTTACTCGTCGACTGGAATTTTTGCAATGAAATCGGCTTTATCGAAGCGAACAAATTAACGAAATCGAGAAATGAATGTCATTAGGGCCAAAATTTAACGTCAAAACTTGTTTATTGTTATAAAACTGGACTACTATGCGAAAATGAGTTCACTTTTTTCATTTCGCCCCGACTAGATGGCGTGCTTGATTGTTTGTGTATCTTATTCTTTGTTTCATTGCAAACGTCTCATATGGCATGAATTCATGTGAAATGCAGCCTTTTATTTCTATTTTAAAATAAGAAAATTACAAAAAATAAATATTTTATCCAAAAATTGATTAAACAAATTCAAAAAGTGGGAATAAAATGAAAAATTTAAGTGAATTTAAATGAGCAACACTGAATCGAAAATGCATGTGAGAATGGCAACACTTTTCTACTCTCTCAGCAAAACGTAAATACGTATTCAATCACACTGAACCAGGAAAAAAATATACATACTTTGCCTGTGGTACGTAGTGAAGCATCAAAATAAAATCAACTTTCTATCGATATATTGTAGTGAAACCGAGTTAAAATAATTACAATCGTTTTTAAGAAAAGAACCGTGTTCAATCATCGCAACGAAATTCAAGAAATTTATTGCTGGCGTTCAAAAAATTAACTACCAAAAATAGAAATTCATGCGAAATTGTGTCAATTATGTCACTGCAAAACCATAAAAAAACATAACCATAGAAAAAGAGAAATAGTGAAACAAGTCTGGAGAGACTACGTTCATACAGCTAGCTGAAAAGTGTTTTTATCTCACAAACTCCATTATTTTATTGACCTGTTTTGAATTTGATTGCTCGATTTATTTCTTTTTATCGAAGAACAAAAGTGTTTTCATTTCCTTAGGAAATTGTGTTGTTCAATTTGAAAGTGTGCATACGTGCAAAAGAAGTGGAAAAAAAAACAACAACTTCAACATAAAGTGAGAACTGAACAAACAAAGTTGTATGCGTTGTGTATATAAATACTCACTCCATACGAAACACACGACGACTAATTTCGACGCAATAAGAGATATTTTTTTTTTGTCTTGCTTTCGTCAAATTTTTTCCATACGCTTCTGTTGTGACTCGATATTTTCGGTGTGATTTTAAATTGTGAAGAATAAAACGAAATAAATTTTACATTCATAAATAAGTAAATATATTGAATTTGCTTAGAAGAAAGAAAAAACTTGTGACGAAAAAAAAAAAATCTAGACAAATCCAAAGTAAAGGACAAATTAAAACATAGAAAAGTCAAAATATCCATATATATAAATATATATATCTCTATCTCAGCGAATATTTGTGTTCACATAAAATATTTAAAATATATACATAAGCATAGAAAAAAAAGCAACAAACAAGACGTCAAGGAAAGCCACCGCAGACAAAACTTATGCTAAATAAGTGGAATATCAGGTGAATGCACGACTGAAAGGTCATTTGATTTATTCAACTGCACATTTCAATGCAACATTGCATTTCAAATGCATGTATTTGTATGCGATACGCTAGCAGTTTTAGTTATTGATAGATATGTGTATATTATATGCACTCTCCAACCACATTGTTTCAATTTGAACCTAATAACAGTAACAATAAAAACTAACATTTTTTCTTTCTCTCATTCTATTCTATTTTACAGTATTCAACAAAAGCGACAACAACAAAATAAATAACAAAATTGAAAAGCTTTTCTAAGTGTTTGCACCATTCATTTCAATTTTCTCAGACTATAATAATAATTCGAGTGTGGAACACTTTGCGATCAAGTCGATTTACGCAATACCAAAATACACTGGGAAACATTTCAAACTTCGCACGCAAAATTTCGCCACCGAGAAAAATTCTCTCATTTTACACCGAAGAATATCGAACAGTGAATTTATGTCAGCATGAGCTCTGATCCTAGTCCAGCAACATTACAGCATTCTTCATCAACGGAAACGGAAAAGGTAGCAATTAAATGTTGTTTTTTTTAAGTATTACGTTTTTTTTCTCTCTCACTTGCTTGTTATGACGACAAATGTTGTTATTCAACATTGTTGTTTTTTTTTCAATGTGCCTGTAGTAAATAACCGTTTTAAATAGTAAATAGAGATAATTATATATAAGCTTCAATGACTGATAAGAAGTTTAACTTAAAATCCACGTTTATTTTCATCATTAATTGTATCTCTTCATTTTTATTCCGGTTCTTTTTCCGCCTCACGATGGCTAGGTATTTCAATGGATCAACGAATTATCGAATCCGGATACGCGCGAAACCGCTTTAATGGAATTGAGCAAAAAGCGTGAAACTGTACCAGATTTAGCGCCGATGCTATGGCATAGCTTTGGCACAATCGTTGCATTGCTACAAGAGATCATCAATATTTATCCATCAATTAATCCGCCCACACTAACTGCCCATCAATCGAATCGTGTATGCAATGCGCTTGCATTATTGCAATGCGTTGCATCTCATCCAGAGACGCGATCCGTTTTCCTTAATGCTCAAATTCCATTATTTTTATATCCATTTTTAAATACAACATCCAAAACGCGACCATTCGAATACTTGCGGCTCACTAGTCTCGGTGTCATTGGCGCTCTTGTCAAGGTAATGAATAACTTTTTTTTATGTTTGTTTGTTTTCGTTTGAATAACAAAATCAAACGGTGTCTATATATAAAGCTGAATGTTTTTTTTCTCTTCGAAAAGTGACTCAACGATGATATAATAATATCATTACATTCAAATATATTTTATATATGAAAATTAAACACGTTCTTCAATACTTTCAGACTGATGAAGAAGAAGTGATCACATTTTTGCTGAGCACCGAAATTATTCCACTCTGTTTACGGATTATGGAATCTGGATCAGAGCTGAGCAAAACTGTAGCCACATTCATCTTGCAGAAGATCTTGCTCGACGAAAAGGGCCTATCGTACATTTGTCAAACGTTTGAACGTTTCTCGCATGTCGCTATCATTTTGGTGAGCATTTGAAAAACAAATAACAAATAATCAAAACAATATACCAACTTTCTTGACTTTTCGTAATTTATTTCGATTATCATTACTATTTCAGGGTAAGATGGTCATTCATTTGGCCAAAGAGCCATCTGTTAGGCTATTAAAGCATGTGGTTCGTTGTTATTTGCGTTTGTCAGATAACCAAAGGTTCGTCTTTTAATATTTACGTTAAATTTTTCCTCAAATAATTACATTTTAAAAATTAACCAATTTTTTATTATAAAATTTTGCAGAGCATGTGAGGCCCTTCAGCAATGTTTGCCCGATCAACTTCGTGATGCAACTTTTGCTGTATCTTTGCAAGAGGATAAGTCAACAAAGCACTGGCTGTCTTTATTGATTAAGAATGTGGACACATATTCGATAAATCCACGACAAGTTGGCATATCGCCATTGGCCTCATAAAAAGTAAGTGGTTTTCACATTCTTGGCACAAAATCTAACATTAACGTTTACATTGTCTGCTTTCACCATTTTTTTTTTAGTTTTCCGCTGATATTCTCCATTTTGAACACGAAATCAATTCTACACATATGTGGTAGCAAGCGACAAATTTATCATGGAACCATGTTGTAAAATTTGAGATTTTAAGAACAAAAAGAACCGGAAAAGAACACAATTGAAATGAAACACTCATCTGCATTAAAGAAAATTATTGATTCGTACAATATACAAATGGCATTACAAATTAGATGGCTTTGAATAATGTTTACTATTGAGACTGCATCAGAATGAAAAAAAAATCAACAACAAAAAATGATACATGTTAAAAAGAAAACACAAAATTATTTAGAAAAAATAAATTAGAAAGAAAAATGCACTAGATACAAATGGTACCTAAATTTAAAAATTTGAAATTGTAATGGTTAATATATTTTCGTGATTTCATTGGGCCAAGATGTTGGCCAATCATATATATATATATATATTTTATCTCAAATGGAAACCAAACAATGTAAAACAAATAATAGTGAATCGAAGTCGACCACATGTGTGAAATTTAACGTTAGAATCCACTCACACACACACACATACACAAAATCTTAACTTAAAATTTATATAATGAACACCTAGCGTGAATATGGATTATGATTGCTCTGCGATGTAATACTAAATTTTACTAATATAAAATACAACTTAAACTGTTTCTTTTACGTTTTAGATTAAGAGCAACAACAAAACTGGAAAAACAATGTTCTTAGTATATCCAAAATGCAAGTTTATTAGCACTTAAAGAAAAAAAGAAAAAAAAACAGAAAAAAAAAACAGAAAAAAAACAACAATTTAATGTAATATTTAACCGAGATATGGAAAAATACATGTAAATTAGCCCTTAAGCTTACTACAATTTCAGTACATTTTGTAAATTAATAGAATTATTTTAGAAACTAACAAAAACATATTTTATATTGAGGAATTACCGACAAACATTTGTTTCAATTAAAGAAAAATTCATTGCGAAAATTATATGTGTTTTTCTTTTGCTGTGTACATTTTACTGAATTGATGTTCAAATGCTTAAATTGATATCATTTATGCACGTCAGTGTTTTGCGTGAACATGGCTGAGAGACTCGAACAATCGACAAATATGGCATAACAAAATGCGCGCGCAAGGAAAAAAAATTGTCCGTTGAAATAATTCATCTCAGTCTCATGGTATCATTTTCACACGTTAAAAAATAATAAAAACGGCTGAAAAATGAAAAGAAATTTCCGCTCGAGTAACGTTTCAAGTTTTTTCGTTGTTGTTTCGCTACCAGTCAAAAAATATATTCAAAATTTATTAAAATGCTTTTGAAATCTCATAATACTGCCATTATGTCGCCATAAATAATTCGTTATTTTTCTGTTTTCCAACAATCTGGACCACCAAAAAACGAACATCGTCAAACAATTTGGACAATGGAATTCTTGTCGTTGTTCGTACAATGTAAACAATAGTTTTGTCTATGGACATTTTTGTGGGTAACAGTTGAAAAAACGGTGCGGTATTGTCAACAGAGATGAAAAAACACACATAGTCTCAGTGTATTCGATGGCACGTTTGAGACATGTTTTTCTCAATTTCTCAGCCACTATGAAACAAGTTATTTACACACAAATCTATTATAATTTTGATTAACATTCTATTCTCATGGAATGAGCCACATTGAATGCATGTCTGCAACGGTTGCTTTCTTTCTTTTTGAGATTTAGCGCCAAACAACTAAAATTCGTTGAAATCCAAAAATGTTTGAAAATGACAAGCTGTGTGAACACTAAACAGGATCAAACATTTATCATTCGATATTTTTCCATCATTTACGTTTCGAATATATCATCAATTTACGTGAGCTGGAAAAAACGTGATTAAACATAAAAATTTTGCCTGATATCACCACATTGTTCTCGGATTTCAAGAGGACATATGAAAGTGATTTTCACGCTCAGTTTTCTCCGAATCATTCGATTCGGATTGACGATTTTCACATCATTGTAATGTAGAACAACTATGAAAATTGCCAAATCACTCGACCAAAACTAATGGGTTTGCAAAAAATCGAAAAGGATTTGGAATACAATTTAGAAAAAATCTTAAATTGCAAATCAAATTCAAATTCGATTCGGACACCTTTTGTTGAATATTGGTTGCCATTTAAATTAAATATTCACCCGAATCGAAAAACGGCCGCTATAAATTAATGTGGTCTCATATCATCCGTGGTCGTGGCGTGTAAAATGCAAAAAAAAGTAAATCCAGTTAAAAGAATCCTCGATGTATCTCAAGATGGTAAGTGAAACCGTTCTTGGCATGCACACAATTGAACGTGGCAACGGAAAATTAAAATCAACATATAGATATTTTTTTAAAATAACCTTTGAACTGATAGAAAGAGAGTGTGCTATTTTATTTTCCCAGCGCCGGCTGTGCGCCATGTCCATTTCTATAGAATTCGCAAAATTCGGTTTTTAAAAAGCCATTCAATTCACTTAATAATTAAAACGAGAACCAAAACTCTTTTATTCGATCGTTACATTTTGTATTCAATGTGCTTTTTTTCTCATTGCTCCGTTCGCATATAATTCATCGCTCAAGTATCCTCACAATGTTATACCCACAGTTTTTTTTCTCTGTGTCTGCTAGTATTTCAAAACCAAAAGATCCCTCGAATTTTCTTTTCTGACTTGCATAGAACGAACGAAAATCTATGGGCACAAACAAGATCAACGTATACATTGAATGCAATGACGGTCAGCCGATATAGGCATATACAGTACACATACATCGTTTCTTCGTATTTTTCTAGTGTTCTCATTTTAATAATAACTAAACGTGTTTCGTATCAAGCGTTAGACATTTTCCCTTTGATTTCGTGTAAAAATAACGTAAAAAAAGAGACGAATCAAAGTATTTATCCTTTTATTCGATGAGAAAAGATTTTTTTTTCGATGCCGTACAAAGTATTTGTTGTACAAACAAAGCGATTTCGACGATCAATTGCTCATCTTTCGTTCTTTTATTCGACTCTGACATCCATTCTCATCGGATATGTGATATAGGAATAGTGAGTGCATTGTATAATGTAAATAGCATGTGCCGTAACCGTAATAATGAACTGCTAATCGTCGGTGGGCTGAACACTTTTAATCGAATCGAAAAAGCGAGAGAGCTCAATTCATTGTTATGCATCTTGATATGTGCGTTTAATCAAAATGCGTATAAAACCATATGTATATGTACCACTTGGAAGAAATTAGCAGTTGTTGTTATTGTGCGCACGAGAACGCATTTTGTCAAGAATGCAACACACACACACACACACACACAAACATACAAACTCAATGCACGTACGTTCGTTGGTTGAATCGAAAAGTGAGCCCCGTTTTAAATGTCAGAGTGTTTTCGCAAAATATGCATATATTATCGCGAATTTACCCTTTCTATGCACTTTCCAATGCACAATGTATGGCCTATAATAGTGTATGTGAATGCGATGGCACATGCACAATAAGTGCAGTATATGATTCTCGTGTGGTCTATTGGGCCATCGTAAAAGAAGGGAACGAATCGCTCGAATCAAATTGCACATTAATTTAAGCATATTTATCAAATAAATCTAGATGAAAAATGGCCAATGTGCGTTTGTGTGCGTGAGTTCGTGTCTATTTTCAAGTCACAAATTAGATGCATATGCAAATGCATATACCGCATGGAAATGGCCACGGTCAAAAAGTCAATGCATGTATCCTATACGCGGATGGAAAATACAATGGGGAAAATCGCAAAAAGCTGATTCGGTGTTGATAAATGCAGGTAAGTTAGGATTGGTTACTTCAACGTTCAAAATGACGTCGTTTTGGACACATTTTAATTTTTTTCAAATCATTTTTTTTCTTGATAAACAAGATTATAAATTATGTATTTTGCATGATTTTATGTACAAAAACTCTCTCAATAATTTCCATAAACAAAATGCTGGAAAAAATGAGTTTGCTTGAAGAAATTAATTTGTAACGTATTCTCTAAAACACGATGATTTATAAGGATGCATTACCTTGATCGTTTTTTTTATCGAAATACACATACCTGAAAATGAATTTAGTCGAAAAGGGTAAGTAAAGTCAACCGATAACTTTTTCGCTTTCACAAAACGAAACATCTTCTCATGCAGTCGTAACGTGGTTAAATCCCTACGTAAAACAAATGATTGGAAAAAAATCACATTTGAATTGGTCGTTTTGCTTCCCTTTTTCACAGCAACGCGACATTGAAACTATTTTCATTGTACGAATGATAAAAATTGAATTGAATATCGAGAAGATTCACTCGAGCACTGGTTTCGATTTCCTGTTTCGCACATACATGCTCACACCGAACAACGAAGAAATTGGTAAAGTGCTAAAGTATGTTTATTGTGTGAAAAAGCAACATTGAAATCAATGAGACGACGAGGTCAAACATACTACTACTTTATATTCAAATAAACCGAAATCAATCTTTGTTACAACTGAATTTTCGGCTTGTTTTTCTAGCTGTGTGTGTATGTGATTGTGCGTGAGTAATAAAGTGGCATCGAAATGTGAAAGAGACCCTTCACAAAATCCAACTTTCATTGTATCGAGAAATTCCTGATATTGAGACTAATAAATGACGGGCCACTTATGGTACTTGCACTCTTTCTACGGCCAAAACGCGTTGATCCATTTGAATTTGGCAACTCATATGTAAGTTCTGATCATGACATCATTTAATGCAAAAAAAATTTGGTTAGATTTATTCATACGAATTGACCAAATCGGCAAAACACCAGTTAGTATCGTATAACCGATACGCCGTGGTTTTTGATTGAATTAAATGGATTTCTAAATAAATTACGGCAGAATATTGAAATTAAATCCACAAAACCCGCTTACATATGCAAATTAACCGATCATTTATTATAAATGTGTGTACAGTACGGAGCGATAGAAAACGTAGTACTAGAATATGCGAGAAACAATCGCTTGGAAAGAAGAGAAGAACAAAAAAAAAATACTTAAACGAGCTATTCAATAGACAAAGAGAGAATTTGGAATGGTATGCATGAAAGAGACGAATAGGCAACCGTGTTCATGCGCGAATAAGAGATCAATAATAGACGCACGAATAGGAGGATCACACGGGCAAAAGCCGATAAGATATGCGTGGGACTATCCATATTGAAGTGGCGCTGTTGAATTTCAATTCATTTTTGATATACATTTAATCTCTGCTTATTCACACAAATCAAATTGATTTCGATAAAATTTATTCGCTTCCAAAATCGAACAAAATTTATGCTCATCATATTTGGATATTTCATTTTGAACGGATGTTTTTTTTTTCATTTCTCTCGTGAATTATGAAAACAATGCGTTCGGTTTATTCAAATGAATTTTAAATGCCGAATTTATCGGCGAACGGAACATTGAACTAAAGCCGAATAGAAATCATATCAATTACATGATTTTCAGCTATATATGTTCTAGATAAGAAACATACAACAATCTAATTATAGCGAGTTGATTTTTTATCGATCGATGCCGCTGTTTCGAAAAAAAAAACTTATAGTTGCCACCGACCGATTTTGATATGAAAAAAAGTTCGGAGATAGTTTTGGCATTTAAACGTGACGGATATTGCACATAATTTCAATGCATTTGGTAAATGTCAAACGGTGACATCAAATTTAAATATATGTAACACGAGAATATGGAAACAACGTGTTTGTGATTTTGTTATCGTCGTTTCTGGAACACGATACAAAACCTATATATATATGCATGTGATACCAATCGACGATATTGTTCAGTGTAGGATCGCGTTGAATACGTCATCGACATTGTCATTGCAAGCTCAAACACCAGTAGACTCCAAGCAGCGAACACGAGCAAAGAGAGCCAGCCGAGCATTGGAGCTACAGCGATAGCAAACGAGCGAGAGAGAGAAAGTGAGAGTCGGTCGACTCGAGTTATTGTGTGAATTTACGATTTACTACACATTGGCATGTGAAATGGAATGAATACACACATATTTGTGCAAATGTTATAGATTATAATATGTTCGCATCCACATGCAGTGAGTTTGGTATATGTGCGTTGAACGTAAACAAAACGTTTTCTCCCCGATTAAACTGATGTGGTGCTGTAAACCTATTGAACACACAACACACAATCGATATATACGCACACCAAATGCGGCCGAGCTCTCTTTTTCTCTCGTTCATTCTCTGTGTGTCTCGAAATCTATATACACAAATGTTTATTTCTGTTGTTCGGTTAATTCGTATCGTTTCCAACAGAAGAAGAAGAAGTCAAAATGAATAAAAATGAATGTAAATGTATCCGTTTTGTATATTATGTTTTTTTTTTGGTGTGCGCGCCGATGATATAGTTGAATACGATAAGGCGAACGCCGGGGCCATGGGAAGAGAGTCTAATGCGCTAAGTCGATTAACTACCGACAGTGCGATGAACAGCGACAACAACAACAACAACAAAAAGTTAAATGTGAAGAGAGAGCGAAAAAAATCAGCGCACACATCTACAGCAGGTTATTGTCGACGAACACTCGAAAGAGATTCTTGAAACAGGCACATATTACGCGCGAACGAAACGAAACCGAACAGCAAAAAATGTCAGCGACAGTGGGGCAAGTCACTAACAGTGGGCATTAATAAATTGATATGAATTGAGAACGAACAAGTAGAAAAAAAAAACGTGAAACAGTCGGCAATTTTTTTTGAAATTAAAAACACCGGATAAAATTTTCTCCGTAACATATTTTCAAGCGAAATTCTTTTTTTCACTTCATTTCATCGCAAAATCAAATTGAAACTTTTTTGTGGCCCTGTTTCTTTCGTTTGAAGCCACAGCAGAAGACGACGACGACGTCAACGACGAAAAAAAAACTATCAAAAATAATTCTTGGAATCGAAATAAAATTCGCTTGCGATTTTTATGCAGTTGAAACAATATTGTTAACGCGCTGGCAGCAAAAAAAAGAGAGAGAAAAACGGAAAAAGGAATATTTTTTCGCAGTACAATTCAGAAAAGCTCTGAGTGAATTAGTGTGGCAATTTCGAGTGAATTGAACGAGGTTTCAGTGTAAGAGACAAATAGTACCAACGAAAAAAAAGAAACAGTAGTTAGAGAATAAAATATAAAAATATATACCAGAGAAGAAGATATAAAACACACAGTTTCGGTGTCAGAACACTTGTCATATATCACATTATATTGGTTTAATTTGCAAATTGAAATCGATAGAAATTCGGTAGTGTCATAATGAATGTGGAAAACGGTGCAACAGGTATGTCAAGCCATATATATCTCTCTTTAATAGAGCAGTTATATGGGATTATTTCTCGTCTCTCTAGTTTAGTTTTTTTGCCTACATTTCGTTTGTCGTGTCATTTGTACATATTCATTGAGTATGTGTGTGTGTGTGTGTGAGCCTATGTGCGACGTTGTGTGGCCAAAGATTATCAATTGCACAAAGGGAAATGTAATATGGAGAAATAATTATTGCGAATATTATAATTGGATCAATGGATGGAAATGGTCGATGTTGTTGTTGTTGCTGTTTGTGTCGAGGATTGATATTTTAAATATATATACATATATATTGTCTAATGCTGAAACTAGAACTGTTTGCACCCAATAAATATATGCAGGGCTTTCATTGATTACAAAGCATTGTGTAAATGAAACTTAGTGAACTCAATTTCAGAAGCAATAAATGGTATATAGAAAAGACAACGCGATTGCCATTTGTTTAGTGGAAACATTAGAGCGAAAGAGATCGCACCGAATGTAATAAAGCTATTGTAGCGTAACTAACCAATAGTTTTTGCTTCTTATTTTTTTGCTTCTCTAGCTTTTCGTATGTATCTCTCCGTTTAGCAACTGCTTATCACAATCTCTATCCCACCCATATTTTTTTTCTACCAGAATATAATTTACGCAAAGATTTCGTCTATCCTATGCCCATTTGTAAGGATGTTATTTGATCTACAAACTTAATTTGCTAAAATAAAAACAGTTTCCGACAAAAAAAAAATCTTGTCTGTTGTGCGTTGATTAAATAAAAATAAAATGCGATCTTATCTCTTTGATGGTGGAAATAAAATTCACAAGCCATTATGCAGTTCAAATAATTTATGCAGAAAAAAAGAGCAACAAAAAAAACACACATCATTCAAGGTCAAATTGATCAAGTTGTGACCACATTTCAGCGTTGCATATATACCTTGAGGCAGAGTAAGTGAACAAAAAGTATGAAAATGCCTCAAGTTTTAAATAAGAATATTTTTATTTCTGTTACTTTGATCGACTTTGACATGTTAGTCATTGTTGGAATTTCACCCATAGACAATTATTATCAATTGCTATTTTTTTCGCCGATTGCGTGCCTTGTGAAATCATTTTCAATTCTGAATGGTAAACCAAAATACGCCATAAACACTTTTACTATTATCATTTTCATTAAGTGAACGAACGATGGCACCCGATGTGAACAGAAAAAAAAAAAAATTTTTTGTTCTCTTTTTCATACACTTACTCCATGATGACATTTAAAATTTGAATATGTGTATCGTTGTGACGATGATGACGCGCTGACGGCATTTTTTCGCTTTAAATGTGTTTCATTGAATCTTCTCGTCAGCCAAATATGAGAGATGTGTAATCGAATCCAAATACGCGTTAGTATTCCACAATGAGGCGGCGGCGGCAACAACGACGATGACAACGACGATACCGAGTCAGTCAAAGTGTTTTATATACACATGGAACCGCTTCGTTTCGCGATAAATATACTATACGCCAATAATATTGTTTCATTGTGTGCTGGCTACTCACTCTCATTGAGGGACACAGTCATCGACGATATTCCATTCATCTCGTTCATACCCCTTAAGTTGCGTTTACTTCCATCACTTTCATTCGACATCGCCATCGCCATCGCCATCGCCATCATCGTTGTCGTTGTCACAAGCGAGTGTGCGATTGAGAGCGAGAGAGCCAAACCATTTGACGATATCCGCAACGAATGTTACACGAACCGTGTATTGTGTTCATCGCCGTATTTGAACGATCGAAGATCGGCAACAGAAGGAGAAATCGGGGGAGTCAGTTCGTATGCTGTCAGTTTATGTAGGAGAAATATGTGTGGGCATTAATGATTTTACGTACGACGCAATTGATCAATGATTGCGTTACGATCGCAAGGAGAAACTCACAAACTAATTGTTTCGGCTCGCATACATTTCCATTGAGTTATTCTCAATTATTATTTTTCATAGAATCCAACACGACTAAAAAAATATCCCAAGAGGAGAATAATAGACAATTGGCATAGACACGATCCACATTTTATTGTGAACTAGATCGATAGAAGCAAATATAACAGTTGGAAAAATCATTTAATTAATTCGGTTGACAACAAGAAAATTTTTGGCATGTGTCATCATCATCATTGAATCAGTCATTGTCGATACATTGTTGTTGTAAGTTTTTTTTCTTCTAATGTATGTGTGATTCATCAAAGTGCTAATGATCATAATCAAAAGTTTGGTACGTTGTTGGCTCACAGTGCGTGTGTGTTGCTGCTGCACACACATTCCAAACTCTTTACATTTCGCGTAATCCATGTGTCTATATTGGATCCACTCACATGAATATAAATCGTGTGCGATTTATGCACGTGTCGTCTCTGTCTGGTTCGCAGCAAACTAAATCGCCGAGTTTGCTTCATACTTATGGTTGTTTCTTTTTCACATCAAACAAATTCAACTGTATCACATGTTCGTCGTATCGCACACAACAGGCGTAAAAGAGTCAAAACGATTGTCGGCAAAAATTTCCGACGAACAACATTTGATTCATTCGCAATGTGAAGTCAATTTAAGATCGTCGATTCGAAGGGGTGGCATTATATTAATTGCTTATGAATTAATATCAAAACCATTTCATTTGCAACATTTTTCTTTCGTTTTGCACACACTTTTGCATATGTGCGAATTTTGTAGCGAATGATTTCATCAATTGCGCATACAATTTGAATGAATAAAAAAAAAAATAAACCCCAAAAATGAATAATTTGTAATTCATATACGAGACGCCCGCAATCTAACATGCACACACACACATAGTCATTTGATTCCCTAAAATTCGCGGCTCTTATGAAAATCACATGCATACAAATCTATAGAAATAATTTTGAATGTCGTTTTTTTTATCGCTCTCTGTGATATTTTCAGCTTACTACTACGGACCAAATTATAGTGACCCTCATCAATCACGCAGATTCAGGTATGAATTTAATATGTAAATTTTTATTGCTTTAAAACTTTTTTTCCGCATAGTACGAAATACTTGTTAAAGCTTAACGTATGACTTGAGATATTCTGGTTGAGCTCATTTAGATACTGAGCACCATTCATTTCAGTCAGTATGTCACTAATTTTTTTTTTTTGTGTCTAAAAATCCTAAATACTAAAATGGTTTCATTTGCCATTCCGCATAAAGTACCAATTTGAGTTTGTGTTTTTAACTTTTGTATATATTTAATTTCCATCGAAAATAACAATAATTTATCATTATCCACATAAATATGATATCTTTTTAAATCAATTTTTCATTTTTTAATCCTCGCGGCTAAGGAATTAAAAGCCAACCGAAAAGCATCGGTACAGATATCGATCGAAAACATTATAATTGAATCTCGTACAAGTAAAGAAATTGCATCTGATAATATGCACGCACACCAACTGCATTCGTTTTTTCTTTTATCAATGAACATGATCAGTGTTTATGGCATAAACACAAAAGTCAAGACAGTGAGATGTGAAATACTTGAAAATTAGTGTTTCATCCCCGTTACATATTGCAGTTGGTTGTGTCGCTCGTATTTTTGTTGTTGTTGTTTCTTTGCTTCTCTCACTTCTCGGCCGAACAAATAATAATTGCGGAGCTCTCGCATTACATTCTTGTGTAAATACCGAAAACTACTGACAATATCTTGTGGCAAAACGACACCGCTCGTTTTTCTTTCGCTCCTCTGCTCAATTCATATATGTATGTATTCTCACATCCATACATCTTGTGTGCACATTGAAAGGGTTTAATAATTTATTTTTGGCTCGAGCCAAAACCTTTTTATCGTCATTCTCTTTGCACGTTTCTGCACATTGTGCATTGTGTCATTCCGACATACACTTTTGTCTTGGTTCATACTCGAATAAGACGCAGCAGCAGCAACGAAAAAGAAGGTTTTGCGTTGCTTGAATTTAAACAAAATATATTTATATTGTGTAAAAAGAGCCGAATGTTATATAGAGTTTGGTTCACACTGAGCACTCCAAATTTTAATGTTGACGTAGAGCATGTCATATGCACCATATTTCTGAAGCCTGCATTGATTTCATAACTGTTGTGATCTGCAAGTTGTTCACAACAACGACGATTATAACATATTTTACAACTTCTGGCAATGGTTCTCTTCGCTTTGCCTTTAAACGTCTCGACCTTAAAATGCATATTCAAATCGTCTATAATTGCGATTTTCATCAACTTTCAAGGTTTATGTGAAATGAAAGATAATTTTAGGGCAAAGTTCCAGTCCTCATTGGCTATTCATTGAGCAATGGCGACTTGACGACCGAATCCGAAAAAAACGGACTGTATTTACTTTAAGTATTACTATTGTTGAAGATTATATTGAAACGAGAAGCACTTGCCTCAAGTCATTTCCCATCAAAAATGTTTCCTTTTTTCGGCTATGAAAGAAATTTGAATTTGAATTTTTGCCGATTCGGTTTTTAGAAAATGCAGCGAAAGAGATGCGACAGAAAGAGAAAGAGTTTCATAGGTTTGTGATATTCGCGCAAACACCTGCTGGTTGTTGAATAGTGAATATATTCCCCATGCGTTCTCATTTTCGTTTCTTATAGTTTTTTTTTTGGTAAAAGTACACACAATAACTAATTCATAGGCCCCATTCATTTTAGCTCTGGCGAACGAGAAATTATGTTATTTCTCGACAGATTAGTAAGTTTATTTCGACTCATTTCCACCGAAAACGTCATGCTCAACATACTAACTGTTGTTGTTATGTAGTACATAATATGTACGTGTGTATTTTTTTTGTTGGTCATGAAATTATGATTATATTTTTCATTTTAATTTTTGTGTATCTCGTTAAAACCTTTGCCGAAATGGTTTTTACATGTGCCTTTTGTTGTTAGATGTTGTTGTTGCTCTTTGCTACTTTTTTCCGGGCTTTGTATGTCCCGAAAAAAAAACGACGAAAGCACGAAACATTGAAACATAAATTGCAGCTGACATTCATTTTTCAGGCCATTGTTAAGGTTAAAATGTGCGTTTCTTATATTATAATTTCTTTTACCGATGTAAATGTCCTGGGCGCATTCTATGCCTAGGTGTACACACATTCTCTTCGTATTGTGTGTTCGTTGAACACAACCAGAGATAAAGAGTCAAGAGTTTGACTTCAGTATACCAATTGCCCATATGGCTGTTATCTTTGTGTGCGATGAATAATTTGAGTTGATAAATAATTTTCATTTTATGTGGTCATAAAATGAACGATCGATGATATGCGCATGTATTTATTCAGTGCTGAGTGTATCAATGATCGGTAATTATTGAGCATTTTCGTCATTTTCCCTAATTATAAAGGTCTATAAAATTGAAATGAATGAGTAAGATTTCAAATCGGATTCGATAAGTGTAATCGGAACAATTTCTTGTTGTCGCTCATTGTGTTGAGAAACATGTGTAATTTTCACGGTTTATAAAGGAGCTGGTGACTTCAAAGCATATCAAATTGACTCTATCAACAACAAAAAACACAGAGAAAGAGAGAGAGAGAGCGAAAAATCATCATCGAAATCATTATCTGCAAATGATGCATAAGAAGTCAAATAAACACATGAATTTTAAATCAATGAACATTTTACGATGCATAAACACGTAGCGAATAAAACAGAGAGCAATACAGAGTGGAAAGGATAAAAAAAATACATATTCACAAAACATACATACGCAGCACAACACCGAGAGAGGAACATGCAATAAAACATCATTAAATTTGCCCAAATTTATGAGCTTACTGGAATTTAACTTTTTGGCTCGTGAACAGGAGAATGAACAGTTTAGTGGACGTAGCACGTGCAGCGAACCAAACACACCATTATTGCAGACAATTCGATGCATCTGCTCTTACTGTTCGTACGCATCGAACTTGGCGCATGACACGATATACACACAACAGCAACCGAATAATAATAATAATAACAACAACAACAACCGAAAACAAAAAGCCGAGAATTGAACACTTTTCGCGAAATTGGACTGCATCGCAGATCTCACTGTCTTTTTTTTCGGGGTTTTGATCGTTCATACGTAATTCGTTTATTATGTGGATGGGGGGCATTAAAACAATGAATCGTTTACGGATTTTCGACCATTATTTGTATTATTTGCGCGTATGCAACTGAAATAAAAGTACACGAAGAAAAAAACACAACAATAACGACAACGACGAACAAGACAATATTTTGGTAGCACCTGTGTTTTGCTCATTTCATACGAAATGCGAACATCCGAAGAAGTCAGAGGATCACCGTATTAATTCGCTTTGAACAAACTGTAACTGGAAGAAAGAAAGAGAATTTGAATGCTCATAAATGAAATGAAACGCTTGTGCACACCAGCCGAACCAAAAAACTTTCCCCAAAATAATATAGATTTGAATGTGTGTGACCTCGTACAAAAATATTCAAGCACACAGATGCCACCGCACTACATCGGAAAGGTGTAAAAGCTATTTTCACTTTAACTGCAACACGTTTTACGATGCATCGTCTGTTTTACAAGCAATTTTAATGCAAGCCAACAATTTAAATTTGGAACCATTTTTCACATTTCTTTGGTGAAAAGGCATAGTGACATCGATACAAATTTCGGCACACTGTGTCTCTTTTCGTTTGTCACTTTGTTTATTTGTTTGATGTGTTAATTGAATGCGATGATGATCTTCATGGAAGTTCTTTAAAATTCGCTGATTCAATGAGCCTGCAGCCTTCTATGTTTAGAACGAAGAAACCTGGCGTAAACAAGAAGTGTGCTGTTTTCTCATTTTTTGAAAATTGATGTCACATGTAAAGTGTCAATATAAAAGCAACTGCAAAACTGTGAAATCCGTTACACTTTTATGTTATGCTGCTAAAGAAGACGAATAAAAAAATGAAGTGGAATTCTTGAGTAAAATATGCATCGTGAACAGTATACAACTAATGGCTCTCACCAGCTGATCCACGAAAAATTCAAATTATTGAATGGAAGTATTATAATGACTTCAAATTGTTTGGAAATTCTTTGTACTCTTTTTTTGTATTATTTTCTGCAATGTTGTGCGCGTTTGTTTTTTTTTTGTTGTTTTTCTGCGTGTTGGGCGCGTCTTGTTGTTATTCGTTTCGTTTATCGCGGTTTTTCACCAAAAAGAAGATTTCAGTGCCGGTGCCGTCTGTCATTTCGACACTGGACAGCTAGTTGATAAGAGGAACAGATGCATTTGACTGATTATAAATACTTTGAAAATAACTCAATATATACATGCAAATTGTGATTAATTACATTATTTATTGCCACTTTTATTTCAATTAATTTGCTACTTCACCTTTTCTCCGATTCCGATTTGGAAAATACACCGCAAAAAGCTACGATTTTGCAAAAAGCTATATCTCTTGCTTAATTCACAATTCACGTGATTCGAATCCACATCAACACAGATCGACTTAAGCTACTCTCACACACACAAAGAGATACCGTCAAATGCAATTGGGATTATAATGGTTTAATGACAATTTGGCGTTATTTTAATAGGTTTGCAAGGCGTGAATGGTAGCATGGCACGCATCCGCATGTAATTAGCATTTTGTTGCAAATTTACAAAAATGCAACAAAACAAAAGGCATATTCTGTAAAGGAGTGCGAGTGAAAATTTCTTTTTGGTTTTAATGGAGGTGAACAACCTCACATTTGGTGCACATTTGCATGGCGTTGAACTTATTATGTTCCATTCGATTGCCAAAAAAAATATTCTGAAAGGAATAAAAAGCATGCACTAAACGATGCGAGCGGGCGGGTGTACGTGAGAGAGAGAGAGAAAAGAAAACAAACGCGCAATCCGGCGTATGTTGCACCTTCTTTAATTTCGTGCTTTCGTTTTCACATTTCTCTGCCTGTGTTTTCTATCCACATTGACTCATGTTCGATTTTATTCTGTT